GTCAACTGTTGAAATCTGTTAAGAGCCTGGGATTGGGCGATAGTGTTATTTCTCTGTTGATTTCCTGATTGTCATTATTATCATACTGTAGTTGTATAGATGTATATAGTAGTGTGTGTATATGTACACACACACATATATATATAGTCCTTGTTTTTAGGAAGTATAACCCCTCCTTAACCATGGTTTTGTTTTCCTTGGCTTAGTTACCTAAGTTCAAAAATATTAAATGGGGCATCCCTGGTGGTCCGGGGGTTAAGAATCTGCCTTGCAATGCAGAGGACACCCTGTTAAATCCCTGGTCCAGGAAGATCCCACATGCCATGGAGCAACTAAGCCTGTGAGCCACAACTACTGAGCCAGCTCTCTGTGAGCCCCAAGTGCTGAGCCCACGTGCCACAACTATTGAAGCCCACGAGCTTAGAACCCACGCCCCACAAGAGAAGCCACTGCAAAGAGAAGCCTGTGCGCCACAACGAGAGGAGCCCCCATTCCTCACAGGTAGAGCAAGCCTGCGCGCAGCAGTAAAGACTTAGCACAGCCAAAAGTAAATAATTTTTGAAATCTCAAATGGAAAATTCCAGAAATAAGCAATTCCTAATTTTTAAATTGGGCACCATTCTGAGTATCATGATGAAATCTTGCACCATCCTGCTCTATCAATCATCCCTTTGTCCACTATATCCTGCCTGTTAGTCTCCATCATCAGACCTGCAATCTAGCTAGTACAGTGCTTGTGTTTGAATAGATCTTACCTTACCTGTTGGGAGCCGCCGGGATGCGCCCAGTCCACGACTAGGTCACGGGACGAGAGAGGAACCTGCAAGGCAGCTCTTCCCCTCGAGGTTTTCCCAGGGGCCCAGTATGTCCCTTTCTTCCTTCTGTCTGTTGTTGGGCTTTCTATTAATTTTTGGAAATGATAATATATAGTAATATCAGGTTTTTCTCATTGTACTATTTTCAGAAATGTCAAACATGTTACTGTGACCCTTCCCATGTATTGTTTTATTGTCCAAAGAATTTACACTATACCTGAGATTTGTGGAACATTGTTTTTGGTAGAGTGAGCATGTTAGGCCATTGAGGCAAGAAGATTATGTACGGGACATTTAAGTATAAACCCTATAATTGGAAACATTCTAGATGAATGCTTAGAGGAAAAACATGGGGGAAAAAAATATTGACGGAAGTACAAACCAATATCTGATGTAATATGTGGTGACCTAAGGGGGAGGTAACATTCATTCTATAAAAACTGAGCTATCCTAAAAATAAAAAAAAAGCTACCTCTTCTATGCAACCGTCGTGTGTGTGTGTCTGTCTGTCTTCTTCCTTGCCGACGCCACTCATCCCTTGGGTACTTCTGGTCCTGCCAGGGCTGGACCTCGGCACTTACCCAGTAATGGCCCCAAAGCACAGAGGAGAGGGACTGGCAATCTGGACATACCAAAGAGAAGCTGTCAAGGGCTTTCTCCAAGTGAAAAGGTGAATGCTGTAGACTTAATAAGGAAAGAAGTATTCTAGCTATGAAATTGTGGAGGAAAAGGAAATTTGTGCTAGGATTGCTGCAGCACCTCAAACTGCAAAAGTTATAGCCACAGTATACAATTAAGTGCTTAGATAAAATGGAAAAGACAATAAACTTTTCAGTAAATTATTTTGATAGGAAGGCCATAGTTACATAATTTTTATTACATATATTGTTATAATTGTTCTATTTTTAGCCACTGTTGTTTCTCTAACTGTGCCTAATTCATAAATCAAGCTTTATCATAAGGATGTACATATGTGTAGGAAAATACTGTATATATGAAGTACTTTTCCAGTGGTCATGTATGGATGTGAGAGGTGGACTATAAAGAACGCTGAGCACCAAAGAATTGATGCTTTTGAACTGTAGTGTTGTAGAAAACTCTTGAGAGTCCCTTGGACAGCAAGGAGATCCAACCAGTCCATCCTAAAGGAGATCAGTGCTGAATATTCATTGGAAGGACTGATGCTGAAGCTGAAACTCCAATACTTTGGCCACCTGATGCGAAGAGCTGACTCATTGGAAAAGACCCTGATGCTGGGAAAGATTGAGGGCAGGAGGAGAAGGGGATGAGAGAGGATGAGATGGTTGGATGGCATCACCGACTCAATGGACATGAATTTGGGTAAACTCTGGGAGTTGGTGATGGACAGGGAGGCCTGGCGTGCTGCGATTCACGGGGTTGCAAGGAGTCAGACACGACTGAGCGGCCCAACTGAACTGAACTGTCCACAGTTGCAGGCACCCACTGAGGGTCTTGGGACATACCCCCTGAGGGTCAAGGGAATTACTGCACACAAGGGTGCCTTGAAGGGTAATGACAACCACTTCAGCAATTAACTCTCAAATGGCTCAGGGGAAAATCAATATCCATACTTCGGCTCAGAAGGCAAATAGGATAAGTTATCAGCAATTGGGGGAGTTAGGTAAAAGTCATATAGAAAGTATTTGTCTAATTTTTTTTCAACTTCTCTATCAATTTTAAATTATTTCAAAATAAAAAGTTAACATAGGGAACTGGTTGAATAAATTATGGTACAGAGAATTATGTAGTTATTAAAAATTATTCTAAAGACTTCTATTGATATGGACATGAACAAATATATGATCTCTCTGATGTAGTAAATGACGAAAAAGGCAAGTTTACAAAATAACATAACTTTAAAATTTTTTTATGATGAGTTTCTATTAGTTCCATGATCAGAAAAGACCAAACCTATTCTATGGGCAGTGAGGGAGGAGCAGAGCAAAGAAAAGAGAGCAACCAACCAAACACCGTTGTTCTGATTTCCTAGTTAATACATCATTTATTTATTTATCTAATAAATTATTATATATTTATCTATTTATTCTTGTAGAAGGACTAAAATCAGGGCAATAATGACCACCAAACTCTGGGAGATTGTGAAGGACAGGGAAGCCCGCTACAGTCCATGGGGTCATAAAGAGTCAGACACAACTTAGCAACTGAACAGCAACAAGAAAATTACCACGATGTGAGTTACGTTCTTACAGTTCATATACATTAATAAACTGATTTTCCCAGCTGTATGCATTAGTCTCTTATTAACTTGATTATGGTAAGTTAGAAGTGAAAGACGATCAGTCGTGTCCAACTCTTTGCAACCCCATGGACTATATAGTCCATGGAATTCTCCAGGCCTGGGTTGGGAAGATCCCCTGGAGATGGGAAAGGCTACCCACTCCAGTATTCTGGCCTGGAGAATTCCATGGACTGTATAATCCATGGGGTAGCAAAGAGTTGGACACAATTGAGCAACTTTCACTTTCTTAATGCTGGAGTGGGTAGCCTTTCCCTTCTCTAGGGGATCTTCCCAACCCAGGGATCAGACCCAGGTCTCCCACATTGAGAGTGGATTCTTTATCAGCTGAGTCACAAGGGAAGCCCAAGAATACTGGAGTGGGTAGCCAGCGTATCCCTCTCTAGGGGATCTTCCTGACCCAGGAATTGAACCGCGGTCTCCTGCATTGCAGGTAGATTCTTTACCAACTAAGCTATCAGGGAAGCCACGGTAAGTTAAAGTCATTACAAATGCAGTCACCTCTGGATGGATCAGCAAAAGAGAATCCCAGAACCAGCAGAAGCCAGACCCTAAATGTGCAGGGCTTGCTGAGCACCGCCAGCCTGGGGGATCCGTCTAGCACCCTCGGGATACTGGATCCTTTCACCAAAGTGGACCAATGAGTCCAGTACTCACCAGAGAGCAGGTTTTAGTGCAGAGAAAGAGAACTCTAAAGATTCCCACATACAAAGTTACGTACCTTCAGTCTCTGAAACAGATCCTCAATCTCTGAAGAGAGATTTTCTGATAACATGAAAAAAGCTAACATAATCCCTGTCTTCATGAGTTAAAAGGGGGAGACGCACTCAAGGCACTCAAGCCATTTNACAGATCCTCAATCTCTGAAGAGAGATTTTCTGATAACATGAAAAAAGCTAACATAATCCCTGTCTTCATGAGTTAAAAGGGGGAGACGCACTCAAGGCACTCAAGCCATTTTCAGTGGCGACATCAGTGTACGGATTAGGATCAGTGCTGAGGGGAAGGATGTGTGTCCATTTAACATGTTTTAAGTTAGTGATACAATCTTGGATACCTCTACTAGAAAAGCATCCTGGGCACACTCAGGATTGATTGCTCACACCATGGATTAGGCAGATTCTCATTTCTCCTCTTTCCTACCAACTTTCTATCAGGGTCAATGAAGATGACAAATATAAACACTTTTTTTTTCCCTAGAGGGCCTGTTAAATTGGTGAGTAAGGAAGTTGAAACTAATGACTAAAAGCAGATTATGAACAATGCTAGATTTCAGTTATTGTATCAATCCTACTTTCCACATTGGATTATCAACACTCACTGGTAAATAATTTGATCCAATTCTGAAGTCATAGAGAATTTAACCACTCCTCTCAAAGGTAATATTTAAGAATCTTTGTCACACAGTTTTATTTAGCTATAGAATTAGAAATAGTGTATAGTGCCAGAATGGTTTCAACTAGTTTGAAGATGCATAAAGGTGAGCCATCAGCTAGTCATACCAAGAATACAGTAGGCAGAAAAATCAAAATCTCAAAGCATACTTCTCAATAAATACTTCTTCCTATGATGATACAATTTTTATGTAACACAGAGATAAGAAGTGGGAAAAAATGGCTTAAGTATAACCTTTCTTTACAAAAAGAAATAAGGTGTACTCTCAAAAAAATGCTTTCCAATATTTTTCAAACAATAATTTACATTAATAAAATATTTCATTATTATACATATTCAAGTAGTGCTAAAGTATATATACATTTTAACCCCAAATATTAATATTTTCTAAAGACATAAAAATGACATGTTTTTTATTGAAATTAGGTATTTCAATATCTGTTAGGACCTTTGTCACCTATGAGGGAAAGCTAATGTCCAAGGAATAAAAGAAAAAAAATCAAACTTCTTACCTCTTTGTAATTAATACTCCCATCCTGAAGGTGGAGAAACTCCAGAGCTCTGTGCCCTGTAATAAATAAATATATAAATGAATTAATTCCAACTATAACTGAAAACAGAACTGTCTTAAGATCATTTTAAAAGGAAAATATATAATTTTGTGCCTGTTACTGTCAAGGAAGTGGGAAGTGAAAATTCAATTTGTACTAGTAATTTTCATTAGCCAATAATTAGATTCAAACAATATTGCTACAATACAAATCAAAATTACAGTTTCTGCTTAACTAACTCTCATGACCTTGGGTAAGTTACATTACCTCTCCAGACCTCAGTTTCCTCCTATGTAAAATTAAGTAAATAACATCCACCTTATAGGTTTGGTAAGAGAATCACACACACCCACAAAAAGGCTAAGTGATGAGCTCATGACTGATACATGACAAAAACAGAAGTTATATTTTTCTTCAACAACCCACTGGGGTAGACAGACCAAGTTTATCTGTACAATACAGAGTCTAAACCATGGACTGAATCAATGACCCATAAATGTTTTTTCAGCATTGGACTACTTTAGGAGGAGAAAACAAAGTCTCAAAAAGCCACGTGCTCCACCCACACACCCACGCCCATAAGATATGCTCCACCCACACACCCACGCCCATAAGATATGCACACCCACACCCTCAATCTTCTTAGTATCAATAACAGAACACTCCTTGTGAAGACACAGTCAAATGTGACACCTTATTTCTATTGGAAATCACATCCAACGTTTTAATTCGTACAACAAAAATCTAGCCACTACTATATTATAAGCATTTATATCATAAAGAGGCAAGGTCGTAGCTGACACAAATAGCAGGTATATAAGATTATAGAGGTTTACAAAGTGAAACCACTGAAGGAGGCCAATTCTAATTAACTCATAAAAATGTCAACCATCCACACAGGCCTTATATAAGAAGTGAAAACAAGAATCAGGATATTTATGAAATCATGTAAATTATTGGCAAATAATTATTGAAGTTTTAATCTCTTTTTGTATAAGAATCCTCACAATCTGTGCAAATTTGGAATTGCCTTCAATTATGTCCACATAAACATATTATATTTTACATTTAACATATATTAACATATTAATCATTAGGACTCTTGTTTGGCACCTACTGAAGAAACGGAAGCAACAATCTGATTTTTAAAAATTTTGAGATTTCATCTGTGTTGCTAATTTTTTACTCTAGGGATTAAAAAGTTGAATATTCCCACTTATATTTGTTCCTCTTTGGCCCACTGCTAGTGTTTTAGCAATTTCAGTTTCACAGAACTTAGATGTGCAAGATAATTTAGAATTCATCAAGAAGTTCAGCCCCCTCATTCTGCAAAAGAGAAAGAGAAAGTGAGTTGCCCAGAGTCACTCATGTAGTTTATAGCAGAGTTGGTATTAAAACCTACACCTAATTCCCTTTTCCACTGTCTTGTGACTCTAACATCTAACATTTTAGATGTTAAATGATTCTAACACTTTAGCATAGATGTTTCATGGAAGAACACTGGATCAGCTGTTAGGATATGTAACTCTAGACTAGGTCACTAACAAGTTAGCTGTGAAAGCTCTCTGTGATCCATTTCCTCTATTGTAAAATAAAGGAACTGTACTCAGTTATCTCCAGTATTCCTTCTAATTCTGTGATCATACAGTTCTTGTCCAGTAGAGCTCAATATTCTGTTTTGCACTGATAGATTTTCATTTTTTTTTTAAATTGGGGGATAACTGCTTTACAATGTTGTGTTAATTTCTCTTGTACAACAACGTGAGTCAGCCATAAGTACGCATATATCCCCTCCTCTTAAGTCTCCTTACCGCCATCCCAAATTTTCATTTTTCATTCATAATCTTGTTCTGCTTTGAATCTTCTACAGGTAGCATAACTAAAATATTGTTACTGTTTTTATCTAAAGAGTGAAAAAACATTACGAATACATTTCATCCAAGAACCAACCTTTTGTGCTACCATCTACCTTTATCCAGATCACTCAGCCCTTGCCCTGCCCCGAGCTCATAGGCATCGGCTTACTGTATCCCTGGGCTCCCCAAATCCTGCCATCATTCTGGGCATCTGTAATACCAGGGACTGCTCAAATTCCCCCACTTCCTTGCTCTCCCCAAAGCCAACCATCTCTAAAGCTGTTTGACTCAGGGGACCCAATCCCGTGGCTATATGTGGTCCTTTACCTATACTTGGAAATGTAGAAACAAAAATAGATTCCTCACTCCTACCACACTACACCCAATTTTCTCTTCTCCCATTCTATCAGTTCTGCTTTATGGGAACACTCCCCACCCCACCCCCAAGTTTATCCAGTTCCTATTTCCCCATGCAGAGAAACAGCCCAAGACCCAGTGACCAAAACACCTTCCTCTCCTCCATGGACTTCACTCTGATAGTCCCCAGCCCTGGACGACTCCAGCCTGGGCTTTCTCCTCTTCACTGCCGCGTGGTTCAGGGCAGCAGGGGAACTCACTGTCAACACAGGGATCAATTCTAAATCTCCTCCGTAACATTTCTGACAGATACACTGTCCTTCACACCATGACAAGAGGCTGGCACTTACCTATTTCTATGTGTGTTGAAATGCCACATGGTGAACTTGTAGGGCAGAGGAAGCCCAGCAGCATCAGCAGTCCTGACCAGAATCTGAAAGCAGACATGCTCTCATTACTCCCCGCTCCTATGGTGACGAGCAATGCTCTGAGCTGCGGCAGCACAGAGTCTAGAAGCCTGGCCCAGACCAGCTGCTCTCCCTCTAACCAGGTCACTGACACGGGAAACCCTGCCTCGTTTCAAAATAATATCATTTCCCAGTGCAGTCAACTGTTTAACTACTGTTTAACTTCACCAGGACAGCAAACAAACTCCACCTGGGAGAGGAAAGGAAAAAAATAAGGATAAACTGAAATCTTAATGCCTCCCGTTAGGAGCATTCCCACCTTCTGACTCTGGTTTCTCCTGGATTTCTTTTTAATATAACATTTGGATGGAGATGCAAGCAAAGTTGTCTCCAAATATTCTTTGCTTTCTTTAAAAAAAAAGGATATTGACAACCTTTATCTTTAAAAGATATTGATTGTATTGACAATCCATATATTGGACCACCTCACCTCACAAGAGCCGATTTCTCTTGCATCTTTCCACACATACATCTGGTTGCCCTGCTTCCTCAGCCTCTGCAACCACAAGCGCTGGGAAAGCTTTTATGATGATCAGTTGGAACCGGCTTCTCTTTCAGTATTTGGCAACAGATAATGACACTTGTATGGGATTACACAACCCCAACTACTCCTGGTCTCTTTCTCCCCAGCTGTTCTTAAAGCGCTTATCCAGAACCTGCTGCCTGGTCAGATTCCTGCAAGCAAAGATGCTGATAACACTTTCAGTGGGGGAGAGGGAAGTGTGAGTGGGGAGAGACAGATTTCAGATCAAGAAAGAAGGATTCAGAAAATGAGAGGTTCAGAATACACCTGACATCGAAGTATGCAATCTATTGCACTTAATCCATGGGAGAACTTAGGTGTAACTCTTTGTAGAAATGATGGTGATCTTAAAGCTCAAAAGACGCATAACATTAGAAGCAGGAAAGTTGATTTTGAAAGAAGGGGAGGACACAGCGTCCATTCTCAGGTTAGCCAAATGGAAGGGAAGAAGAGAAGACGGGATGGTCTGAGACCCTCAGGCATCTGCCAAGTTTCCTTTGCTCCTGCAAAGCCCCCAAAGAAAGCAATGCTAACAGCTCTTCCCCAACCCGGACAGCATGAGGCCCCGCTGCTCCTGACTCTAGGTCAGAGGCCATAAACTGAGTGTTTTGTTTGGCAAATGGACTGTTTTATAAACTTAGGCCAATTTTTTTTTTTTTTAAACAGGAAAAATCTGCATAGAAATCTAGATTTCTGGGAATTCACTGCAGTGGGCCAGCTAGATTTCTATGCTGAGAGCCCCGGGTTCGATTCCTGGTGTGGGAACTAAGATCCCCAAAGCTGTGCAGCACAACCCTTAAAACACAAACAACAAAACCTGATTTCTAGCTGTTTTTAAAAAACAAAGAACTGGCTTCATGAACTGATGCCCCCATATGCGAGGACCACCAGCTGGAGCTCCATCCAGCTGGTAGGTCTCTGTCCCCAGCCAGAGGTACCCTCCCCACGGTCCCCCGTCCCCACCAGCCACACGATGCGTGCAGCCTGCCGGGCCCTTCTGGCCACCAGAGGCTGTGGAGTTTGCCCCCTTCTCACTCCGGGTTTTCTAAAGCCTGCATGTGAGAGGGTGGTGATTACAGTTTAGAGCTCTGGTAAGCCCAGAAGAACTTTCCTGGTGGCTCAGACGGTAAAGAATCTGCCTGCAGTGCGGGAGACCCAGGTTCGATCCCTGGCTCAGGAAGATCCCCTGGAGAAGGAAATGGCAACCCACTCCAGGATTCTTGCCTGGAAAATTGCATGGACAGAGGACCCTGGCGGGCTGTAGTCCATGGGGTTGAAAAGAGTTGGACATGACTGACCAACTTCGCTTCACAAGCCCAGAGGACCCAGGAGTATTCAGTGAACGACAAGGTAAGAAGGCTGCAAAGGGTCAACAGGGAAGATGAAGCACTGCCTGAAAATGGTATCTAATGAAATTTAATAAAACAAACCCAACCACAAAGCTCCAGAGAAAGAAACAGGTTCAGGGATCCGTAACTAAGCAATACTAATCCCGAGTTTCTCATCACATATAATTTTTGTGTTCACAGTTCAGAATGACTTAATTTTATGTATGAATAGAACAAGAGGTAATTACTTGCTTAGGCAGTCTAGTGTGATGGTTATGAGATAGGGCCTTTAGAGGACAATAGTGCTTGAGCCTTTGTGAAATTTGTATTTCCTTTGTAACTATGAAAACAAAGATATGACTTTTAAAGAAAAGTTAAAATACAGCTTGCAATATGAAGAAAACTATATGACAAATGTGTATGGAATTATTTTTCTTTCCACCCCCTGCCCTCTTTCCTAATACAGGTGGCTTTGTCATAAAATAGAGAACATGAGTCTACCATTCGGAGCTTTTCTATAAATAGAGCTGCAAGTTGAGAAGTCAACAAGTAGGTCCATTAAGGATTGGCGGCAGGAGGTACAAGCTTGTGCACAAGGCCTTGGGTTTCATTTGGGTCCTTGTTCTACTGCCTTCTATTGGGGTGACATTGGGCAAAGTTACTAAAAGTTTATTTGTCTCAGTTTCCTTACTTATAAAATTATCCATAAAAAATGGGAATAATAATATTGCCCACCACATAGGGTCGTCATGAAATCAGATGATTAAATACAGTAACATGCTTAGAATAGAGACTGGTACACAGTAAGTGTTCAATACACGTTGGCTTCCCCAGGGTCTCAGTGGTAAAGAATCCACCTGCCAATAGAGGAGATGCTGGTTCTATCCCTCAGTCAGAAGACCCCCTGGAAAAGGACATGGCAACCCACTCCAGTATTTTTTGCCTGGGAAATCCCATGGGCAGAGAAACCTGGTGGGCTACAGTCCATGGGGTCGCAAAGAGTTAGACATGACTTAGCAACTAAACAACAACATCATCGTTTAAATTCAAAAGAATTTGAATTTTCCCTTTCTAAAAGATGTACCTAAGACTTCTATTGAGGGAATTCCCTGGTGATCCAGTGCTTTCACTGCTGGGGCCCAGCTTGATCCCTGGTCAGGAACTAAGATCCCACAAGCCCCTCTCTCTCCCAAAAGAGTTCTACTGTGTAACCATATTCCTTATTGAATTCAAAAATAAGAAAAATAATTTTACACTCAAGATACACAGCAATACATCTTCAATAACAATTTAGATTTGTGTATAAAGCCAGCACTGGGTAGGGCTTTTAAAATGAAGGTGGATCTCCTTGTGTAGATAAATGAAATACAATTTTAAGATCCAGACACTTTCAGCTCACATTCTAATAGGCTGCTGTCATCACAGCGTCCTTAGAGTGAATGGGAGAGAGGATGGAGAAAAGTAAAGCTAGGAGGTGGAGGTGCTCAGGACCGGGGAAAGCCAAGGGGAAAGGAGAAAGGTCCCTGTGACCAGGTGGTCTTACCCTTCCAAGCCCTGGTGAACACACCTGGCCAGCTCTGGGAGGCGTCAGGGCAGCCTAGAAGCAAGATGGGAGTCAGGAGGGAATCATTTCCGCTCTGAGTGGGAGTTTGCAAAGAGCACAGAATAGTGGGGGAGTCAGGCAAGGGACAAAGTCAATTTCCTAGACCCTAGGCACTTTTGTCTTGGTGGCAGCCTCCTTTCATAAAAATAAACATTTTTCTTAAAAAAAAGGTCACATTTTACATCTGCATTGCTATCAAGGTTAATATATTAATACTTAAAAGTAAAATCTTATTTTTTAATTCTGACTTTATAAGAAGGGAAACTTTTTTGTGTTCCCATAAAAATACTATGGGCCCTAGGCAGAGTGGGCACCGTTTGAAATAGAAGCTTGGAAACATAGAGTAATTTCCAATCAAGAGAAGCAACACAGCCGACTTCATTATTCTGGGCCTTACTTGCTCAACAAAACAGATTTCCCCAAACCTCAGAAATCAGCCATCCATAGAGCTCCCTCTGCAGGCAGGAGATGGAAACACACCAGTTCCCCAGTCCAGAACTGATACCCAGTTCAGTTGCTGAGTCGTGTCCTACTCTTTGCAACTCCATGGACTGCAGCACACCAGGCTTCCCTGTCCATCATCAACTCTCGGAGCCTACTCAAACTTAGCACTGCCTCTCACCCACAATTCCTTCAATAGAATACATGAAAGATTAAACTCTGAAAGTGCAAGTAGCTCAGTTGTGCCCCTCTTTGCAACCCCATGGGCTGTAGCCCGCCAGGCTCCTCTGTCCATGAAATTTTCCTGGCCAGAATACTGGAGTGGGTAGCCATTCCCTTCTCCAGGGGATCTTCCCAACCCAGGGATTGAACCAAGGTCTCCCTCATGATAGGTGGATATTTTACCATCTGAGACATCAGGGAACCCAATGCTATTCCTGTTTCTGCTACAACTGTGACTCAAGACTGAACGACACTGACTCATCAAAAACCAAAGTCAAAACATAAAGTACAACCTCAGCCTTTCGCCAAAAAAAGGAAAAAAAACACCTAGAAAAAGTTGAAGAGCCCACACTGTTAGGGAAACTAAATTGTCTTGTTTAGGTTTCAGAGACAAAGCAAGGCTGGCTTCTGACCTTGCTTCTAACCAGCCTGGACATTACATTGACTCTGAGTGCAAGACTTGATAGATAAGCCCCATACATCAGATAGGGGACCTACCTTGAGACTGCTGAACCCCTGGAGGTGATCAGGCCAAACAAGCCCCAGGCTTAACAAAATTCCAAGTTTTACCGGACAAAACAAACAGCCTTAACATGAAATCAGAGCTGCAATTTGCTCACAGATTGATGATGATATCAGTTTATGTCCTGGGATTATAAACAAGAGCCCTGAACTGTGAAATTAAAAAGAAATTTAATGAAATTAAGACACTTGCTCCTTGGAAGAAAAGTTGTGACAAACCTAGACAGCGTGTTAAAAAGAAGAGACATTTCCAACAAAGGTCTGAATAGTCAAAGATACGGTTTTTCCAGTAGTCATATATGGATGTGAGAGTTGGACCAAAAAGAAGGCTGAGCACTGAAGAATTGATGCCTTGAAACTGTGAGATTCTTGAGAGTCCCATGGACAGCAAGGAGATCAAACCAGTCAATCCTAAAGAAAATCAGCCTTGAATATTCACTGGAAAGATTGATGCTAAAGCTCCAATACCTTGGCCACCTGATACAAACAGTCAACTCATTGGAAAAGACCCTGATGCTGGGAAAGATTGAAGGCAGGAGGAGAAGGGGACCACAGATGATGAGATGCTTGGATATCATCACTGACTCAATGGACATGAGTTTGAGCAAGCTCTAGGAGATGGTGAAGAACAGGGGAGACTGGCAGTTTGCAGTCCATGCGGTTGCAGAGAGTCAGATATGACTGAGCAACTGAACAACTACTGAACTGTAATTTTCACCCACAGAGCAGACTCGCTTCCTGGGACATTTTCCCAATTGGGACTCCAGATGAGCTGTGTCATGGGACTTCCCAGGGCTAAGTCTGGATGCTGGTCAAAACCCAATTTGGTGATGTATCCTCTGCTGTTTCTATTTCTTTTTTAATGTTAGTATATTGAAAGTAAGCTGGATAATTCTCTAAAAATATTGGTATTATTTGTTTGTATATAACAAGTGGCTTAATTTGTTAACAAATCCTCTGAACCTGAGAAGGAAGAGAAAACTTTCTGTGAAACACCACAGGCTCTACCAAAGCCAGCAAGAACCTCTCCTCTTTGTAGAAATACAGGGAGTTTTTTGGGACTAGTGATTCTAAATCAACTCCGAGAGTTAGGCTTCATTTGAACCCAGAGACTCTGAGTATAGGCCTGCTATTTATATCCTCATTGAAGTTGAGGCTTCCTTGCTACTTCTGGAGTTTTAGGCAAAGTCTAACTCTGATCATACCTTGGTTGCCTGATTTTGACAAAAGGGTCCTGTTGACTCACTGGTGGCCTAACTTTTGTCAACTATAAATTGGCACTTGCCAAGAGCATTTGGACTTCCCTGGAGGCTCAGACAGTAAAACGTCTGCCTACAATGTGGGAGACCCGGGTTCAATCCCTGGGTTGGGAAGATTTCCTGGAGAAGGAATGGCAACTGGTACTCTTGCCTGGAAAATCCCACAGACAGAGGGGCCTGGTAGAATACAGTCCACGGGGTTGCAAAGAGTCGGACGTGACTGAGTGACTTCACTTCACTTCAAGAGCACTGTCAGCGACCGAACCACAAGGGCATTTGCCATCTGCTTCTGAGGAGACTGAACCCCCTGGCGCTACAGCTGTTGAGCTTCAACACTCCCTGAGGGAATTCAGGGTGGACTGAGGCACTCTGTGCTCCAGGGAATCTGGTGGGACAGGTCTTTAGATAGTTGGATATTTTCAGGAACTGATTTCATGATTCCAATACTTGCATCTCCTCATATCTAGAAAGGCACTAATAGTACTAAATCTCTTCATGGTGACATCAGAGCCTCCTGACAAGCAGAAAAGTGAAAGTCAAAGTCGCTCAGTTGTATCCAACTCTCTGTGACCCACTGAACTGTAGTCCATGGGTTCTCCAGGCCAGAATAGTGGAGTGGGTAGCCTTTCCCTTCTCCAGGGGATCTTCCCAACCCAGGGATTGAACCCAGCTTCCCTGACGGCTCAGGTGGTAAAGTGTTGGCCTGCAATGCAGGAGACGTGGGTTCCATCCCTGGGTTGGGAAGATCCCCTGGAGAAGGCAATAGCAACCCACTCCAGTACTCTTGCCTGGAAAATCCCATGGACGGAGGAGCCTGGCAGGCTACAGACCATAGGGTCACAAAGTCAGACACGACTGAGCAACTTCACTCATGCACTGCAGGCGGATTCTTTACCAGCTGAGCCACAAGGGAAGCCGGGCTAGGAGAAAACCTTTTGTAAAATGAGTGTTTAATTGTATTGAACTCCCCCCTTCACCAAAATCTTGTATACTGACTTCCCCCCACTGCCTCCTTGGAGCAGTCTCTCAGAGCTATCTGAGGTGCAGCCTCCCAGGCAGCAGTCCTCATTTTGCCCCAAATAAAACTTAACTAGAAACTCTCAAATTGTGCATTTTTTTTTTAGTGGTCACTTTAATCTCACTAGTTGTTTGACCCAGGTCAGCTAGCATGGATTTTAACACTGAGCTGAATTTAAGGTAGCAACTGTACCGAGCCTTATACCTTCTCTCACAACAAACCTATGGGGCAGGTTATCATTCCATCCCGCAAAGCATCGGACCCAGGTTAAAGGGATGATCCTCTCCAAAGGCGCTTATATCAAGGGCATCCCTGCTCCCGGTTAACGCAGAAATAGACAAGCATCCAGGCAGCAGAACGCTGGGCCACACTGCACCCTCTCCGAGAACACTTGCCCCAAATTCTAAATGCACAGGAGCTACGACGGTGAATCAGCCTGATCACGTCCTAAGAAACTGGGGCTGACATCGGCACATCCATGGACCAAGCACTAATTCCAGCGGCGGGGAAAGTTGGTTGAGGGATTGGTGGTGAGAGGGAGCGGCGGAGGGGCTAAGGAATAGTTACACAGCTGACGCGGGTCCGCAGGCGCCTCTATCCTTCCCAGGTGGCGCAGGAAGCCAAGCCTGCCGGCGCTGTCGGTCAGTCAAGGTCTAGAGTTCGCGGCTGTGCCGCGCAAAGGGCGCGGGAAGAGGGCGCTGCTCTGCGCCTCCGCCGCCTGCAGCCCGCGTCCCCGCCGCCCGGCGCGCCCCCGCCGCAGCCTGGGTTCCGGGTGCGCACGCTCGCTCGCCTGCTTCCTGCAGCCGCCAGGGCCAGGGCCATGGCGACCTGCCTGCGGCTGCGGAGCTGCCCGGCTCCGCACCTCCGGCGGGCACCTCCCAGCCGGGTCTGCCGCCCCCGTGCCGACTGCCCGGTGGCCCCGATCCGCTGCTACGCCCGAGGCCCGGCGGGCCTCTCCTCGGCCCTACTGCGCACCGACGGCTTCGTGGGCGGCCTCTGGGTCTCGGCAGCCGCCACCTTCCCGGTGCACGACCCGGCCAGCGGCGCCGAGCTGGGCTTGGTGGCCGACTGCGGGGTGCCGGAGGCCCGCGCCGCCGTGCGCGCTGCCTACGAGGCTTTCTGCAGCTGGAGGGGGGTCTCGGCCAAGGTGAGTGCGCGCCGGATCCAGGGGCGATCGGGGCTTTGTACCCTAGTGAAACCAGCTGTGTCACCTCTGCCCTCCCCAGTGCTCCAGGAAACACCACGTGGAAAGACTTAGTAACAACAAAGAAGTTTGGAGCGCCGGCTGTGTGCCAAGCCCGGTGCGGGGCGTTAGGGAGCATGGCCCCGCCCTCGAGCCTCATAAAGGGTCTGGTAGGGGAACAGAACACGAACCTGCAATTATAAGCCAGCAGACCGCGGGGGAAGGGTGGTTGGTTTCGGTAAAGGCACGTGTGATTTCAGAGTATCTGAAGTACCTGCCTGGCTGCAGGAAGACCACGCAGGGGTCTAATAGGGTGGTTTACACGCAGGCTGGTAGTGAATGCTCCGGCCATGTCATGAACTGGGGAGTGGAGAGAATTGGGGGGGAAAAATCGGGGGCTTTGTGCAAGGGAGGAGACAAACCCAGGACACCCCTCTAGGTTTGGGGCCTGAATACATCCATTAACTGACATAGAGAGTAGTAGAGAATTGGGTGTGTGGGGTGGGGGATGTCAGAGCAGGAGAGATTGCAGCGATGTTGAGGCAGGGAGATTTCCTTCCTCCTTCATTTAGTTTATGACACGGGAGTCAGCCCAGACGTCATTTTCTACCCTGTCCTTCAGCATCCTTCCTCTGAAGGAAGACAGTCCAGCAATGAAATCCAAGTAGCAAGGGAGTCTAACACTGATTCATCCATTAGACATTTTCTGAGCACCTGTTACGCCACCCACTGTGGGAGGTTCTGGGGGTACAGCAGTTCCACAAAAGAAGCATTCCTGCCCTCATGGAGTTCACTTGGAGGTGAGGGGTGGGAGGAGATTTAACCTGTGACAAATAACATAGCTAAACAAACAAGTCACTGCTCCTTTCCCCTGGGTCCTGGTGCACACAAGGTGCTTGCTCCTTGGAAGAAAAGCTATGACAAACCTAGACAGCATTAAAAAGCAGAGATGTGGGAAGACCCAGAGGGATCGGGTAGAGGGGGAGAGGGGAGGGGGGATCGGGATGGGGAATACATGTAAATCCATGGCTGATTCATGTCAATGTATGACAAAACCCACTGCAATGTTGTAAAGTAATTAGTCTCCAACTAATAAAAATAAATGAAAAAAAAAAGCAGAGATGTAACTTTGCTAACAAAGGTTCCTATAGTCAAAGCTTTGGTTTTTCCAGTAGTCATGCATGGATGTGAGAGTTGGACTATAAAGAAAGCTGCGTGCTGAAGAATTCATACTTTTGAACCATGGAGTTGGAGAAGACTCTTGAGAGCCCCTTGGACAGCAAGGAGATCAAACCAGTTAATCCTAAAGGAAATCAACCCTGAATATTCATTGGAAGAACTGATGCTGAAGCTCCAATACTTTGGCCACCTGATGCCAAGAGCCGACTCGTTGGAAAAGACCCTGATGCTGGAAAAGATTGAGGGCAGGAGAAGCGGGTGACAAAGCATGAAATGGCTGGATGGCATCACCGACTCAATGGACATGAATTTGAGCAAACTATGGGAGATGGTGAAGGACAGGGAAGTCTGGCATGCTGCAGTCCATGGAGTCACAAAGCGTCAGACACAACTTAGTGACTGAACAACAAATAAGTATGTCAGAAGTAATGGATGCTATGAGGGAGAAAAAGCAGAGAAGGCTAACAGGATCAGAGGCCAGAGAAAAGGGGCAAAATGGAAAGTAAGTAGTGTGGGCAACTATTAATTTACTAGGGCCACCGTAATGGTATCACAGACTCGGAGGCTTAAATAGGAACTTGTCTCAGAGTTCTGGAAGCTACAAGCCTGCTCTCAAGGCGTGTGGGCAGGGCTGGTTTCTCCGAGGCCCCTCTCACCCTGGCTTGTGGGCGACCATCTTCCCCATCTTCACAGGCTCCTCCCTCTGAACTTGTCAGTGTCCGAATCCCTTCTCGAGAAGACACTAGTTATATTGAGTTAGGATCCACTCTTATGGCCTCATTTAATCTTAATAGCCTCTTTCCAGAGCCTGTCTCCAAATGCAGTCACATTCTGCGGTACTGGGAGTTATGTGAATTTGAGGGGAACCGAATTCAGGCTGCAACATCAGGGTAGGTCTCATTGAGGACAGGAGATGCAGAGACCCACAGGGGCAAGGGAATTCAGCTGGAGCAAAAACTGAGTCAGAAGCATGCCTGACGCATGTGCAGGTCAGCAAGGAGGCCCGTGTGCTGAGGAGGCTGACAGGGGGAAGAATTAGGAGGGCTGGATGGAGTGGGGTGGGTAGCCATTCTCAGGACTTAAGTGCGGTCTTACTCCAAGTGAGGCAGGGCTTCATTTCAGGGTTTCAGAGAGCTCTAACTTGCCTTCGGAAAGGATGCTCTGGCCACAGTGCTGACAATAGACTGTAGCGGGGGCAACGGTGAAGTCCAGGGACCGCTAGGAGGTGGTGATTTACATGGGAGATGCTGGTGGCTGGCACTAGAGTTCGTGGTCGAGGCAGTGAGGCGTGTTCTGATAAAGGATATGTTTTGAAGGTGGAAGACAGCTGGTTTCCCCAACAGATTGTTACAGGGGAGAGAGAGAGAGATGAAAGACAAGACTGAGGGAGGGAGAGGGGGGGAACGTGAAAGACAGGACTGAAGGATGACTCCAGGGCTTTTGGCCAGAGCCACTGGAGGGAGAAGGAAAAACCACACACTGGGGTGGGGAAGGGGTGAGAGGGGCAGGGGCGAGAAACCGGAGCTCAGGTTTGGCCCCACTGAGTCCGAGATGTCTGTTAGACGCGGAGTGAGGGTTAGGGGGATGTTGAGAGGGGCGCCTGAACTAGATAACGCACAAGAGTGCTAACAGCTGTGGGAGACACGAGCTGGCAGGAAGCGTGTGCATCGAGGTGAGCCCTGGGCCCTCTGGAGTCCTTTTGGAGCTCCCCCCAACCCCACCGGGGCCTGCAGCCTCAACCTACCCCACTGGGGTGTTTCAGGGGCCCAGGAGCAATTCCAGGTGCAGTCAGACCGTCTTCCCTGGAGCCTTTCGGGGAACCCTCCTCAAGAGGACCTTGGAGTGACTTACTAAGGAAGCAGTGGGCTCAACTTCCCACCTCTGCCGTCTGGATGGCGGGGCACAAACGCAGCTTGTCAGGCGGCTTTCTTGTCGCCCTACTTCCCTCTCTAGGCCCATTCACGTCCTTCCTCTGGCCTCTGGGACAAATCATCCCCAGACTGAGGGATTTAACACGTCGCAACAACGCAAAATCATTCTTACCATCCTGGAGGTCCGAAGTCCAAGAGGGTTTGCTGGGCTGCATTCCCTGGGGAAGCTCTGGGGGTTTCCTGGGCTTTTCCACCTTCTAGAGGCTTCCCTGGGGCTTCCCCTGTAGCTCAGTTGGTAAAGAATCTGCCCGCAGTGCAGGAGACCCAGATTTGATCCCTAGATCAGGAAGATTCCCTAGAGAACCTGGACACGACTTAGTAACTACATCACCCCCAGAGGCCTCCGTGAGTCGGTGGTCGGTGGTCTGTGGCTCTGCACCACGCCGGCCTCCGCTTCTGGAATCGCCCCACCTGCCCCGAGCCTCCCTGTCCTAGTCCTCCTAGTGATTATATGGGAACCACCTGGATAACTCAGGCCCGCTCTCACCTGACCTTAATCACGTGGGCAGAATCCCTCTGGCCACAGGTAGCCACAGGCTCCAGGGGTTAGGCGGGGAACGCCCCGAGGGCCGCTCTTTGCCCTCCGCAGCTGAGCGCTGTTCTTGTTGCTTCTCGGCCTTTCAGTGGTGGGCTTCCCTGGGGGCTCAGACGGTAAAGACTCTACCCGCAATGCGGGAGACCTGGGTTCGACCCCTGGATTGGGAGGATCCCCTGGAGGAGGGCATGGCAACCCACTCCAGTATTGCGGCCTGGAGAATTCTATAGACAGAGGAGCCTGGCGGGCTCCAGTCCATGGGGTCACAAGGGTCAGACAAGACTTAGCAACTCCACCACCACCACTCTACAGAGAGGGTGAAATGACTGTAGTAAGATTGTTTTAAGAGCTGTCGATGCCTCTTCTCTGGGGGTTTGAGGTTCAGAAGACTCAACAACACCCTTGAGAGCTAAGATAACAAAGCGTGTTGGCTTATCCAAAATAGGGAGGGGAAAGAACCCAGAGAAAGACAGTTGGTGGTGTTTCCACAGTCTCAGGCTCATGAGTGGTATGAGAAAATAATTTAAATCTTGCCCCTACTAAATGGCTTAGAATGACAGAATGACAAACCAGGTTTGCTGGTTGCTATGGGCAACCACTCGGGCAGGTAGGAATCAACCAGAGTCTCTCTGCTTCATGTACACCTGTTAGATGCAGGAGGCCAAAGCTCAGGGATGCCTTCCTTCAGGGCACCTCTGTGTGGTCTGCTTGACCTGGGTTCTCTGGGCTCTCTCTTTAAGTATATAAATGAATTTCTTTTTTAAAAAATATTTAAGAAATCATTTCTTCCACAGCATACTTAATCCAGTTTATTCGTTCATCCTTTTATCTTTGAAAATTTTTTTAAATTGTAAAATGCACATAATGTAAAATTTATCATTTTCGCTCTTTGCAAGTGTACAGTTCCATGGCATTAAATACATCCACAGGGTTGTGCCTGGCCTCTCCTCTGAAGTGTGCAAAACCCTTTCCTAAACATCACAGACCCCATACCCTCCACCCCAGTCTGTGGGACAACTTGCCAGGGAGTCAGTAAAATAAAGACCTGGCCATTTGTCGGCTGTTGCCGAGCAAAGATACGGGCAGCTCTCGGGTCTGCGGGGGGCTCCACTCGGGACTCCTGAGCGGTGCCCGAGGTCTGCACAGCTCGCCTGTGTCCTGTGGCAAGAACCTGCTCAAGAAATTTGCTTTGAAAACCAAGTAATGTTCCCGAATGGGGGTCCTGCAAAGGGTGGGGGCTCCACCTGGGCGTTAACCTGACTCCCAAGCTTGCAGCCAAGTCTGTAAGCGCAGTCTCCGCTTGTGAAAGCCCACCCGTCACGTTACCATTTGCGGTTTTTCCACCTTTTGTCTGTACTTTTATACAGTTGTGATGGTTTTAAGTCTGCTAAAAGCGAAGTGAACTTTTAAAGCAAAGAGGTGTTTACATTCCACCGTGGGTCAGAGGTTCCAAATCCTCGGATTCAACCAACCTTGGATTGAAAATGTTCTGCAAAAATTCCACGAAGTTCTCAAAAAAACAAAACCCGAACTTGCCTTGCTGGCAACTGTTTTCGTCGCACTTGCATTGTGTCACCTACGGAGGCGGGTTTGGTGTGGAGGTCCTTCCTTGGGCTCGCAGCTGACCCACAAGCCAGTGGAGTTCTTGATGATGAGCACCTCTAGCCCCCGAAGGAAGACTGCGGCGCCTGGGGGCGCGGAACGGCCTCTCCAAAGCGCCCGCAGGCTTGCTGCGCACCCCCGAAGTGAGCCGGGAGCTGTGCGACCTGAACGCGGAGCTCTGCCAGGCCTCCCTGGCTTCAGGCTTCTCTGCCTGCCGTGTCTTCTGGAGGGCGACGCTCTCTGCGGCCCAGCGCGCACACGGGAGGCCGTCCTGCAGAGGAGCGCTGCGCACGTGGGGCGTCTTCTGATGTCCCAGCAGACCCCAGGAACGTGCCACCCAGAGTGTGTGTTCATAGCGCAGCTATGATGGAGACTGATCAGCTACTGGCAGTGGCTGATTTTGGACCCCGGGGTGACAAAGAAGACTTTGTGCAAAGTGATTTCAGTGACCCCGAGGCCCTGGACACTGCTTCGCCAAGTGATACCCTGGGCCCTGCGGCACACTCAAGCCTGCGTGGTTTTGACCACGAGGCACCCAACAAGCAGATCCTGGAGGACAAGAGGAGGAGAGAAAGGCCACGGGACCGTGGGCCCCTGTGGCCAGAGCACATGGCTGAGCTCAGGAAACAGGCGAGGAAGAGGAAGGCCAGACCCCGTGTGGACGATGCCCTCTCTCCCAAGAACCACCTTCGGGGCGGGGAGTGACGAGCGCGCCCCGGGCTACGAGTGGGGCTCCGAGAAGCAGAGCAGGAACTGCGATGGAGAGAGGGGATCAGAAGGGAGTGGATCGTGACCCGGCTCCGGGTGCACGCGCACCGCTGGTGCCGCCGGGTGCCCTCCTGCAGACGCAGGTGTCGTCTGCACCCTTGTGCTGTGTTGCAGGAGAGGTGGTGAGGCCTGCGGGAAGGGGCTAAAAACCTTAGTGAAAAAAAGTCAAAAGATAAGGAACTATACTTGAGGACACTGTGAAATAAGCCAGTCACAAAAGGACAGAGGCTGTATGATTCTGCCTATATCAGGTTCCTAGGGTAGTTAGATTCATAGAGACAGAACGTATTAATAGAATGGTGGTTGTTCAGGCTGGGAGGAATGGAGAGACAGGTCCAGACTCTCAATTTTGCGACATGAAAAGGTGGTGATGTAGGGTGGTGATGGCTGCAAGACCATGTGAAAGTGTTGTACTTAATGCCACTGAACTGTGTACTGAAAAGTGATTGAGATGGTAAAGGCTGTGTCCTGTGTATTTTACTGCAAAAAGGAACTATATCTTTGTGTGGTGAAATTCATTATTCACCTTTACTATAAATAGTAACAGTTGTTCCACAATACTTTTTTTCACTTTTACAATTTATGACTCAGCACACCCAAAATGGAATCTTTGATATTACTCACCAAAGAAGGGCCTGTATCCCTGGAACAAATACAATGTTGCATGTCAGTTATATCTCACTTTTAAAAAACAGGTCAATGTATGTTTCCCCAAGAATGAGACTGCACAGCAAATATTTTAGGAAACTGAAGACTATTTAATAGTCTCTCTTACCCTTGGCATTTTACTATTTTGTATTTCTTTTTCAGGAGAGGAGTTCTTTACTTCGCAAGTGGTATGACTTAATGACACAAAATAAGGATGACCTTGCCAAGATAATTACAGCTGAAAGTGTAAGTGCAGGACCTAACTTAGTACTTAAAGAAACTGTCCAAGAGATCTTAGAAGAAAGCTTGGAAGAGCCTCTAACTTCAGTGCTGTTAGGTGGCTAAAGAAAATGTGAATTCTTTATCTCATGATCAGACATCAGTTATTATTTTGGGCACAGATTTTCTGATTAAATCAGGCACACATATTTGCTAAATCAAAATTTCTATGTTGTAACTTACTCTTTAATAATATGCAAGAAATCGATTTTGAGTGGAACTATGTGACTACTGCTTTTCCACCATTCTAGGTTTTTTCCCCCACATGACTGCTTTGATTTTTTATGTTGTTTTTGTACATTTGCAAAGGTACCAGCTTTTTGGTCGCTCTAATAAATTACTTTCCACTGTTCACAACATTTAGAAAATAGCAGAAGGAAAAAAATTTGAAGAGGCCATTCTAGGCACCTCCTCCTGATTGTAAACCTATTAAGGAGGCAAATGACGACTATGGCTCAGGATGACCTGGCGGGCTTCCTTCCATCACCATTTGTGATTCCGCTTTCAAAGACTCACACTGAGGCTAGAAATTTCTCCACCACCCAGGGGGTTTTGTAATGGGAGACCTTTGTATTCTGCTTGCAGCTTTGAAGAACTGAGAAACACAGAATCGCGCTTTTGTTATTAGAAGGTAATGAATGTGTCCTCTTCTGATTTAATTCAGGGAAAGCCACTGAAGGAGGCACAGGGAGAAATTCTCTATTCTGCCAACTTCCTGGAGTGGTTTTCAGAGGAAGCCCGCCGTGTTTACGGAGACATCATCTCCACCCCAGCGAAAGAAAGGCGGGCTCTTGTCCTCAAGCAACCCCTCGGCGTGGCTGCCATCATCACCCCGGTATGTGGCAGGATCAGCGAGATCCTGGGGGAGGAGGCTGAATGGGGCTGGTGCAGGTGTGCTCATCCCCTCATCTCTGGCACCTGTTCTTGGCTTCCTGATACCACTGCTGGAGGCGGAGGCGTGTTTCCTGGTCCTCTGTGATCATGAGAGGTGTGGTGCTGGCCAGGGTTTTCTAATGCCTGCAGGAGCGGGATGACCCACAGGAGGACCTGGGGGCTTCTCTGACTTGGCATTAAAGGCTTCTTGGCGTTGTCCAGTACATCTAAAAAGATCTTCTGGTGTTTATCATTTTTAAAAGACTTAAGATGTGACACTTTCAAAGTATTTATGTACCTTCCAGCAGGCACTGGGCCACATTCTGAAAGTAAAAAGGCTGAGAAATAAGAGACTGCATCTGCCTGGATAGGACTGCAGTATCCTTGTGGGGCACCCAGCTTTCTCTACATGAGTTGCTTCTCTTGGGTCCATCTTCTGCTAGATGCTGTATTAAGTTCTCTACGGTGTCTACCCGTTGGTCTCAAGACTGCTTGTCCTTCCCTGCTCACCACAGTCACAGAGAAACATTCCCCTCGCTGTCTAGACTGACTAGGCTTGACCCAGAACTCAGTCTCCACTAGCTGTGTGACCTTGAGCAAGTTTCTTAACTGCTCTGTCTCACCGTCTCCAAACCTGCAAATGAGAAAAATACCAACCTCATTGGGTTGTGATGAGGATTTAATTATAATAGTATAAAAGAGCATACAACAGTGCCCAGGTCAGACTAAGCACTATACAAGGTTTTGTTGAAATAAAATATTACTATAAATGTCCACAGAGAGCTATCTATGAATATCTAGAGAGGGAAGTAATATATCATATACCATTTTCAAAATCACCTTTGCCAATATTTTTCCCCAAAGGGTCACCAAACTACAGCCCTCAGGCCTATGTTCGTAAATAAAGTTTTACTGGGACAGAACCACTCCCACCTGTATACATGCTGTCTAGTTGTGAGAGAAACTGGACATCCCACAAAACCTAAAATATTTACTACCCAGCCCTTTACAGGGAAAGTTGGCTCACCCAGTGTGGATAATTTTATATTGCTTTAAACTCTGAAGGTGTTTCTGTCTCCCTGAGCCTCTGTCTCCATGCTCCCTGGAACCAGCAGGTGCCAGGTGTCCTGAGCTCCCCTGTAAGAACGCCTCTGCCAGGCACGTGGTCAGAACTTACTGGCTGGTGTCTTGCCCCACCCGCCTTTGGACCAGGGCACAGTCCTTCCTCTCACTCCCCTCCTCTCTCTTCTGATGCAGTGGAATTTCCCCAGCGCCATGATCACGCGGAAGGTGGGGGCCGCCCTGGCAGCCGGCTGCACGGTCGTGGTGAAACCTGCCGAGGACACGCCCTTCTCTGCCCTGGCCTTGGCGGAGGTGAGCCTCTATGCACTAGGCCCAAAAAAGGATGTTACCTGGGACAGGAGGAAGCACTGTCGAAGCCTCCTTCTTTGCATCTCCTGTTTGATGGTGCTGTGCTTTTAATTCACTAGTCCTTATTTTAAGTCAGATGTTCCTCTTTTTAGAAAAAATAATGGGAATTTTCTGACATCTGTAGGCTGTTGTTTAGGCTACCCTAACAATGATATCTAGCCATCGTTTTTGAGTCATAGTAATGTGACTAAATGGAGAAGGAAATGGCATTGCCTGGAGAATCCCGTGGACAGGGGAGCCTGGTGGGCTGCTGTCCATGGGGTTGCAAAGAGTTGGACACGACTGAAGCAACTTAGCATTAGCAATGTGACTAAAAGCTGAGCATTTCTCACATTGAGGGCACCTCTTATTAACCACTCCCTTCTCCAGCTCAATCTGCACTCAGTCAGATCTTGTTCTTCTGTTTAAAACTCTCTAATGGCTTCTCATGTCATGCAGAGTAGGATCCAGACTTCCTGCAGTGGCCTTCACTTGTTAAACTTTAGAATGTCTGATGAGTTCCTTCTACTGGGCAGATTCCCCTCCACCCTTTTCTTTCCCTTACAGTCTGTCTTTTGAGGAAGCTGGACATCTGATGAGCAGAGCTCCCCATCAACTGGGCTTTGCAGACAGCACATCAGGGACCATGTTCCTCTGTCTCGTGCGCTTTGCAAACTGGCAGCTGTATCCAGACACTTCATCAGACTCGGGTTCGATCCCATCTTGTGTCCTTTTGTCAGGAGAATAAGGTCTGGGGGTCTCTGTTTTCACATCTGCGGCCCTTGCTGTACGATGCTGCTCAGTCTGTTGATTCATTAGGAGTTGCCCAAATGGTAATATTTTGATTCTTTCATTTTTCTTTCATTTCTTCACCAGACCACTTCTATAAATCAAAGCTTCCCATCATCTCTGTGGTTACCCAGTGGTGAATTCACAGAGGAAAGGGAGTATATTTGATTCTTCTTATTTACCAGTTTTTCAAATAAATCAATCTATTCCTATCATCTGCCAAAGGTTCCCAATTAGTTTGTTCTTTAAGGAGCATTACGTGCTAATAGATTTTAATGTGTTGGTATTTGATGAGTTTCACTTTCTTGTGGTTATTATCCTTGATGAACCTCACATTGCTCCCACTTTTGGCCAATGGCAGCCTCTTAGAGTTGGCTCTTTTATCTTTTAACATAACTCTAATAGTTTTTGAGACCTTCTTTGCTATCTAGTATGAGAAGATATTTTAGACTTATCATATATATTTCTTGTCCCAGACCTGGGATTAACCATTTCTGCAGAAAGCCTTTATTTCCTCTGGTAGGAAATGATACTTTAAGGCATTTAGGTACATCCCTGCTACATTTAGGGCACTAGGGATGGTCATTGCTACTGGTGGGTCATTGTTTCTAGGCCTTATTAGTGGCAGGGCTGGGAAATATATATACATGTGTGTACACATGTGCACATGATAAAATACTGCTTAAAATTCATGCAGAAACTTGCAATACATTAATACCACGTTGTCACTCAGTTGTGTCTGACTCTCTGCAACCCCATGGGGTGCTGCCGGCCAGGCTCCTCTGTCCATGTGATTTTCTCAGCAAGAAAACTGGAGTGCATTGCCATTTCCTTCTCTAGGAGATCTACCTGACCCAGGGATCAAACCCGGGTCTCCTGCACTGCAGGCAGACTCTTTACCATCTGAACCACCAGGGAAGCCTTAATACCACATTAGCACTAGTAAGAATCTTATTTCAGTTCTAAATATATTCTGTCCCCAAAGTCAGCCTATGGTTTTTTTTTTTTTTTTGCCATTACTTTCTGGGTTAAAACATTTATTTCTCTTTTCTGTTTTTCCAGTTTGATCACTTGCTGCCACATGTTTGCTGTTTCTCTTTATAGCTTGCAAACCAGGCTGGAATTCCCCCAGGTGTGTACAACGTGATTCCTTGCTCTCAAAAGAAGGCCAAGGAAGTAGGGGAAGCACTTTGTACAGATCCTCTCGTGTCTAAAATTTCCTTTACTGGTTCGACAGCCACTGGAAAGGTATGTGACTTAAGTCTCAAAGGAAACAAGTGTCATTCTAATAACTTCTCTTTATACAGTATCAAAAATACTACTTCATCTTGTTCACCATTTGGAGGAAGGTTTCCGGCAGAGTGTTAGAAGCTCTGTCCCATATCATAACATCTGATCATCTTTCAGAAACATTTGGATGGTGTTCCTCATTGTGACATGATCTAGGTTCCTGTTTGACAAAACTGAAGGTTTAAGGGTAGACCAGGTTCCCATTATTTGTTGCATGTGAAGTAGATGAAAGTTGTTCATCATATTCCCATAACTCTCGAATGCGTGTTTCTTTCATAATGTAGAATTAAAGAAATGGATGCCTTAGAACAAAAATTGTGTTTAGTATAAAGGTAGTTACAGAAACAGAAAGATCATTTTTTTTCTAGCTTTCTTCTCCCTTATATGTTGAAAAATTCTTTCCCCAAAACCTCATTTGTGTGTCTATGAGTGCATTTTTATTTATGCTTTTAAATGTTTAAAACAGAAAAAAGGCAGAGTAGAACAAAAGTTCTTAGTTATGGGGTTTCTCTCCAAATAGTACACATTTTTCCTGCTAGTGTTTATATACATACATGCATATGCTCATATTAGAGAAGTACATAAACATATCAGATTAAAATAGTAAAAGTCTAATCTGAAAGTTTTGGTGAAACTGGTCATTTTTTGGACACCATGAGAAGCAGGAGAAAATAAACCAGTTTTAGTAACTCCCAGCCATAACCAGGTTTGTCATGCCACAAACTCACACTTGGGAAGCCTGCCATTCATTCATTTCAGAAGTGTAACTTTTTAGATCCATAAAGTGCTACCACCCTGATCCAGGGATCTTGCAGAGCAAACGTATTCTCAGAGGGTTTCAAAGTCGTTAGAGAAAAAGAGAGAGGCCTGGGAGAAGAAGGGTTGTAAACCTCTGCCACTGAAGCCAAAGAAGTACCCAGACGCTGGGCAAAGGCCAGCCACTCACTGCTTACTCTTATTTGCTCAGCAAACTGTTCCCAACAGGCAGACCCCCAGGAAAATGTTGACTGTGTTCCTGTCAAGTCCAACTGTCCTTTTAAGTTATTTACATGGGACAGTGCTTCGCTTCAAGTGGTTTAAAGGGAAGAGTGATAGGAATCACTGGTAAGTAGCCATTCTCCACACCAACAGCCTCTTCTGAGCTGATTTTTGCAGAGAGTCGTTGGCTCAGCTCTGGATCTTGGCACATAGAATCTTGCCTCTAACCGAACCCCCTTGGGTCAGCCTCTTCTGGAGATGCGGCCCTGCCCCTTCCAGGGGGACCGCCCCTCCTGGGGCCTGTGAAGGGGACAGAGTACTTGTCTGCTCCCCACAGAGAATTCAACCATGAATGGTCATTTGACCTGAGGAAAACAGATTCATAGGCTGGCCAGTGACCAAGGGTGATTGTCTTATAGAAAGGTAAGCTGGGCAGTCCTGCTCCCTTTCTAAGGCTTTGGAAGCTGAAGTCCCGAGAAGGTCAGCAGGGGGAATAGGAGCAGGGAGGACTCCTTAGGACGTAGCAGGATTGTAAGCAGCAGGGGCCATGCAGCCAGAGTCGGGTTCAAGCTCTCCTCATGGGTGCCGAGTAGGAAGAAGATTCAGAGGACACAGGTGGAGGCAAGCGACCCAAGAGCAAGCCGAGTCGGGAAAACCAATGGCCTGGCAAAGAGCATTTCTTAAACGTTCTAAAGAAAATAGCTATCCAATAAATATTGAGTCCAATAAAGAAATAGGTTTACTCACACCAGTCAGAATGGTCATCATTAAAAAGTCTACAAACAATAAATGCTGGGGAAGGTATGGAGAAAAGGGAATCTTCCTACACTGTTGGTGGGAATGTAAATTGGTACAGCCACTATGGAAAACAGTATGGAGTTTCCTTAAAAAACTAAAAAATAGAGTTGCTATATATCTGGCAATGCCACTCCTGGGCATATATCCAGACAAAACTGTAATTGCACCCCTATGTTCATAGTAGCACTGTTTACAGTAGGCAAAACATGGAAGTAACCTAAATGTCCATCAGAAAATAAATGGATAAAGAAGATGTGGTACATATATACAATGGAATATAACTCAGCCACTAAAATGAATGAAATAATGCTATTTGCAGTAACATGGATGGACTTAAGAGACTGTCATACTGCGTGAAGTCAGACAGAGAAACAAACGTTGTATGTCATCCCTTATATGAGAAATCTAAAAAGAAACAATATGAATGAACTTATTTACAAAACAGAAATAGACTCACAGACTCAGAGAAAGGGATAGTTAGGGACTTTGGGATGGACATGGACACACTGCTATATTTAAAATGGATAACCGCAAGGTCCTGCTGTCTAGCACAGGGACCTCTGCTCAACGTTATGTGGCAGCCTGGATGGGAGAGCAGTTTCGGGGAGAGTGGATACATGTATGTGTATGGCTGAGTCCTTTTGCTGTCCACCTGAAACTATCCCATTATTAATTAGCTATACTTCAATATAAAATACAAAGTTTTGTTTTTTAAAGAAGGTACATATCCCTCTGTGTGTATAGCCAAATTCTGGATAGATACACCTTAAGATTTTATCAGTGCTAAACTATGGATTCTGGGGTTCTGAGTGATTTTATTTTCCTATCTCTGTGATTGTTAAGCCTGCTTATAATTTTTTGAGGTCATACATTGACATGGTTCAAAAATCAGGGCAGTATAAACATGTTTATATTCAGAAGTTTCACCCTTACCCGTTTCTGGTTTCCTCTCTTTTATACATAATTATTTTTAGTTTCTTGTCATCTTCTCCATGTTTATCAAGTATAAGCAAGTATGAATATATATAATTTTCCTCTTTTCTTATGCAAACTGGCATCCCATACACACTACTATGTACCTGGCTTCCTCCTCTATTGGGTGCTTTTTGGAAACAAAGCCTTACCGGTCCCTCTTGTTGACTGGGCACTCATAGCATCCTCTGTCTGCTCCCAGGTCCTGTTGCACCACGCAGCAAACTCCGTGAAGAGGGTGTCCATGGAGCTGGGTGGCCATGCCCCGTTCATCGTCTTCGACAGTGCCAACGTGGACCAGGCTGTTGCCGGGGCCATGGCCTCCAAATTTAGGAACTCTGGACAGGTGAGTCCCGGAGCATTTTTCTGGGTTGTGTGCTTTACAAAGATCCTACCCCCTCCCTCACCTCCTGGTAGAAAGGGCACTTCTGGGTTCCTCCCTCCATTCTCCGCCTATGTCCTCTTTCATCGGCGTTTAGTGAGTGCCCTCTGTCTGGGACTCTGCTAGGCCCAGAGGGTATGAAGGGAAATACGTTGTCCTCCTCCCTGGCTTCAAGGAACATTTCCTGAACAGCAGATGCCTTTTAATGAAATCGTTCTCTTCTTTCATCTCTTTGAATGTGGTTATTGTCATAGTTTTCCCTTGCTGGGCTTTTCTCTACTGAACAGGTTTAAGTATCTCCCCAGATACAAAATAGCCTGAACAGCTAGGGTCTGGAGCCCACAGTCTTAAGGAAGAGAATGTTGGAAAATGTTGAGATGGTGCTTTGAAAAACTCTAAAACCCTACTGCCTGGGTCTCACTCTTCCCGAGATGAGGGGGGCAGGACAGGCCCCCACTAGAGGGTCACACACACCACAGTGGGCCAAGGAGGGTCCAGCTTGTCCTAGGGAGAGTGGTGTCCTGCGCTCACACCTTCTAGGGAATCCCAGAGCATTAGATCCAGCAGGGACCTTCCAAGTTATATCATACAAGGTAAGCACTTGATCTTAGAGTACCATCAATAAGCAATTTTAAAATGTATTCCAGAAATGGAATAAATATTGAGTTATCAAGGAGGAAAAAGGTGAAATGTATAATATTCTTTATTAAATCGTTTTCACCCTGTTTTGACTGTTGGTAACTAATTTTTCTCCTTTCACATATCTTAAATAAATTTGCTTGTTTTTGAAATAGGTATGTTTCCTTTTAGAAACACAAAATGCAAAGGTGTATAACCTTCAGTTACAAAGCTACAACTTTGGGGTATATTGCTTTAAGCCAATAAAAATGCACAGGATACAAAATGATCTACAAACTGTTTCTACTAGAAAATACACAATTAAGAAAAAAGCCATGAAGAAAATGTATCAAGGATAACCTCATTTCCAATCATGTGTATATTATATAACTTGAAAATGTTAGGCCTACACTAGAAAAAATAATAAACAAAGGGCTTTTCAATAATTTAGGCTGAAAGAATGGTCTTGTCTCCGTTTTCAAAATGTTGGATTGTGCCAGGCTCTTGAAAGGTTCAGTAAGCTCCAGGACATAAATTAGCCTTTGAATCCTCTTCCTTCTAGCTCCGCTGTCTGTCGCTGAGTATCACTGTCTCAAGGAGCTAGTTTCATGTTGGTTTTCTCGTTCCAGTATGAGCCATTTGAACAAAACCTGGATTAGTGGCTTTTTGCTCACAGATAATTTATGCTCGCTTACCTGTTTAACCACAGAGGTGTGTTGGCTGTGGAGGCGCCTGGAGAAGCACATGCTCTTGGCATGTTTGTCTTTAGGGCCAAGCTCGAGTTTGGAGGAACACAGCAGGTGGGACCCAGGACAGGAACCACCTGGGAAGGAGAGTTACATTCAGAGGTAGCAGCAATCATAGGTTTATTGGTTGGGTCAGAGCTTCTGACGAACTGTAGACGTGAGTTTTCTTTCTTTCTGTCTAGACTTGTGTTTGCTCCAACCGTTTCTTGGTGCAAAGCGGTATCCACGACTCCTTTGTGAAAAAATTTGCTGAGGCAATTAAAACAAACCTGCATGTGGGTAATGGATTTGAAGAGAGAACTACTCAAGGCCCATTAATTAATGCAAAAGCGGTAGAAAAGGTAAGTCTGTCTTATTATCTGTTCAGTGTCCTGGTTTCAGTATCAAAAAACACTCCGGTAAGGTGCCCAGCAAGGTGGTTTTGGAAACAAAGAGATATTAGAAACACTAATGAATTTCTGCCAGTTTGTATGAATCAAGTGACATCGTTGGGTTATAAGCTTTTCCAGCTCTGTCATTTCGTTGAGTCCCCATGAGATCTGCCACTTTCATTCTTCTACTGCCGTCCCTAAATCTTCTCTTGCAGTGGTGATAATTCTGTCTCCTGCTGCTTCAGGAATTACCATCTTGAAATACAGTTCCTTCATCTTTGGAACACCTAAAAGGAGAGGAAAAAGGCTTTTTGTTTTTGAGATCAGACATTTCTAGGAATCTAATATTGTCCTCCGAGAATTTTGAGAAGACAGTACATACTCTTGCCTGGAGAATCCTATGGACAGAGGAGCCTGGCAGGCTACAGTCCATGGGAATCACAAAGAGTCAGACATGACTGAACATGCACGCACACACACCCACACAGGGGTGTACCCATTTTAGTGATGGAAGCTCTAGAAATTCTTGAAGTGGAAGAAACAGGTCTATCAAGCAAATGCTAGAGGAAAACTTCTCAGAGCTAGGGGGAAATAATTCTTCAGACTGAAAGACTTTGCCAATTGACAAATATATAGAATTAGAATAAAGAGAAAACCCAGATATGTTTTGCTAAAATTTTAGAATGTCAGGAACATACAAAAAAGATTCAAGAAGCTTCTTGAGTGGGGAAAATCAACCCATAAAGGAGTGAGAACTGTTCTTGAATTAGAATATTCATCGTCAGCACCATAAGTAGAGAAATACACTCAACACTCAGATGGAAAATTATTTGGGGTCCAAATTCCATTAGCAGCCAGTGCAAGATAAAACCACCCAACCTACAGTTACCAGAACACTCCGAATATAAACCATCTTCAGTGCACCTTTTTCGAAATAACTAGTACTCGAGGAGAAGATATTAGAACGAAGTGAAAGAGGAGTCCAGGGACAAGAACAGTGTGGGATCCAAGAGCCTGGAACTAACCCAGGAAGGCGAGGAGAGCAAATCCCAGAAAGGCAGCTGAGCGTCAGGCCTGGAAAGACATGAGTGTTTGTGTATTGGGGCCATTCAACAAACAGTAAGACCAAACAGCCGGAAACCCGCAGAGCAGGTTGCTGTTGTTCAGTCGCTAAGTCGTGCCCGACTCTTTGCGACCCCACGGACTGCAGCACACCAGGTTTCCTTGTCCTTCACTGGCTCCCAGGGTTTGCTCAGGCTCATGTCCACTGAGTCGGTGATGCCATCCAACCACCTCATCCTCTGTTGTTCCCTTCTCCTTCTGCCCTCAACCTCTCCCAGTGTCAGGGTCTTTCCCAATGAGTTGGCTCTTCGCATCAGGTGGCCAAAGTATTGGAGCTTCAGCTTCAGTCCTCCCAGTGAGCGGGGAGGAGGCAGCATTGTACATACCACCTGCCCTCTTGACTCCGTATCTCGTATCTGTGTATTTGGTTCTTCCTACCTAGAAGGAACTGGGGTACATGGTTTCGAACCTATTTGAAAAAGAAAGAAAAACCCAGGTATAGTTTCTGACAGTTTAAACATTTTCCAAGTATTCTGGATTCCCTTTCCCAAAGGCTCTTCCTTTTCTCCTCACACAGGTAGAGAAACACGTGAGTGATGCCATTTCCAAAGGGGCCACCGTTGTGACAGGTGGGAAGCGACACCACGTTGGGGAAAATTTCTTCGAGCCCACCCTGCTCAGCAACGTCACCCGAGACATGCTCTGCTCTCAGGAAGAGACTTTTGGGCCTGTGGCGCCTGTTATCAAGTAAGACCATCCAGCGTGTAGGAAGATGGGAGGGAACAGTAGGAAAGGAAAAGGAAGCCTGGAGAGTAATCCAGTTCCTGTGTCATTTGAGGCCTGGGGGGGAGAGGCAGAGAAACAGAGAGTGGGGTTGTGTCAGGGGAAGGGCCAAGTTCAAGGTATGGTTTTTTTAAAATTGGTTTTCATTATTGCCAGTTTAGACCACAAAATTTACCAAATTCTCTACTTTGCTTCCTACCAAACTCATTTTTCTTCATAACGGAGTACATCCTTCAAGGGTTCCTTCAAGGGTGTCTGTGGGAAATGAACTCTGTGTTCTTATGGGACCTTTTATCCCACACTCACAAGTAAATAATAATCTACCTGCATAAAAATCTAGCTTCACAAGACATCACTCCTTGGTCTGCTTATTATCAGGGTTGTTATTGAGAAAGCTGATGTCTGCTTCTTGTTCCTGTGAAGGGATCTTTTTCTCTTCAGAGACTCATGGCCTTTGATGTTCTTAAATTTTACTGTGGTAGCTTAGGTACAGCATACTGTGAGCTTCTTTTCAATCTGAGATCCTAAGGCCTCTATTTAAAATCTGAGGTNTGTGGACTCTAGCCTGCCAGGCTCCTCTGTCCATGGGATTCTCCAGGCAAGAATACTGGAGTGGGTTGCCATTTCCTTCTCCAGCGAATCTTCCCGACCCAGGGATCGAACCCGGGTCTCCCGCATTGCAGGCAGACGCTTTACTTTCTGAGCCACCAGGGAGTTCACGCTCAAAAGGTGAAATCGTCGAGGACGTCCCACCTGACGGTGTGATGAGTGCATTTTCGAGGGACACGCAGGCAGCGAGGACATGGGTGACTCCCTGGTTTTTATTCTCTGGCCTATAGAATGGCTTGCTCTCTACAGTGGAGAGACAAGAGCTGCTCGTCCTTGGAACAAGTGATTCTCTTGCGGTCCCCTCCTCTCTCTCCCACTGACCGGGGCTTGCCAGTTCTGCCCGAGCCTTCAGAGGGCTGGCTGCTGCTGGGTCTCTGATTTGAGGAGCTGGGATGCACAGAATGTTCTGCCCCCAGTTACAGTTCTGGGGCAACAGAAAAAGGCCTCTGAAATCTAGTTTCAGAAATGAGATGATCAAGCTGGAAGAGACTGCATTAGGCTTCCGTACTGGTAGTCTCATTTCCAAGGGGAACAGACCCCCAGCACTGTCACACCGTCAGAGCATAAGCGGCGGGGCTGATGCAGGCCCTGACTGTTCAGTCTCCCACATCACGGCTGCTTCTCAGGTAGTTATTATGATTGGCGCACGTCTTAAGAGGGAACAAGAGCAGTAATCCTTTTCTTAGGCGTTTTATTCGACATTCTGAATACACAGTAGTTCCCTGCGTGTCTCCTGTTCTCCTGGAAGAGATGAACTGGTGTTGATCCAAGCTCCCTAGCCTTGAACTCAGCGTGTGCAGTGAATGAAGGTATTTTCCTCTCTGCTCCTTGAGAAACTCTGCTTGACCCCTAGTTCTTATTTGGGAAACAGATCAGAAGGAAAAACAGGTGGTCTTCCTTCCCTGAGGGATTTTGCTGATGACCACCCTGACTTTGGCAGGTTCAACACAGAGGAGGAGGCGGTGGCGATCGCTAACGCGGCCGACGTCGGGCTGGCAGGTGGGTGTCTGTCCTCGCTTGGCGACAATCACAGTCACTTCTCCAGCTGTGCCTTTTAAGTGTCGCCTGAGGTTTTGAGAAGTCAGCTTCTTTGCAGCACGTTTCATTGCTTTCCAAGGGGCAAGGGCGGGTTTTTGCCAGTCCAGATTCTTTGCCCAGATGTCCCCAGGATGTGGGATGGGAGCTCCCTGGTTGGAGCTGGGCATTCTGGAGGGAGAAACAGCAATCCCAACTGTTCTAGGGGAGAACCACCCACACCCCTTAAGTCCCATGTCCTCAGAGGCTCGATGCCTGGAAATTCCAAGTGCTTTTCCTCACATCCCTCCTGGAAGCCCGAACAAAAGAGATAGTACTTGACTTCACAGAGAGCATCAGGGCGATGAAGGAAGGGAAGACAGCACAGGCAGAGGGAGCCTCATGGAGTGGCTGCCGTTCTTGCAGTTTGGACATGGTCAAGGCGGCCCTAGTATGTACCCTGTGTCCCTGACAAAACTGTGTGTGCATAGAGACACTCAACAAATCCGTCTTTAGCATCCGCTAGTGGATGAAGTGTTGGCAAAGATACAAAGACATAAAGATACAGCTGTGGCTCTAGGCACTTCTCTGGGTGGACAAGAACCACTGCCAACCAGAGAAAGGATGTGCACGCTGTCGAGTCCCTTATTCTACTACACAGACTGAGTTGCCGACTCAGAGGGCCTAACACTGGAGTAAGATGTGTGCACGAGTGCCCCCGTAATGCTGAGCCCAGTATTCCTCCAGTGCCTTCTCGATGGGATGATGGTGGAAGAAGCCAGGCCCTGAACCACGGTGTCCATGCTGGGCAAGACTGATGGTGCAGATTGGAGGAGAGAGGCTCTGGGCAGAGGGGGACCTAGGGAGTTAAGTGAAAATAGGACAGGAGAACTGGGTGGATGAGTTTGGTGGTGATAGAGTGACTGCAGTAATGGAAGATAAAGCTGTCATGTTGGTCGAAACCACATTAGGGAGAGTTTGAATACACACCAAGAACTTAACCTATTTATGGGTAACAAGGAGTCACTGGAAGGTCTGGGTAAAAAATATCACGTGGATAACCTAACAGATGTGTGCAGTGTGGATTGATTAGGAGGCCATAGGAGCCGGGTTCATTGTTGTTACAGCCCTAGCTGGAGATGGTGAGAGAGCTAGCGAGGGTAGAACAGAAGCAAAAAGATGATTTCTAAAGGTTGTGAGATGAAGACACAGAGAGGATCAACTAAGGGCTCCACTTGGAAGCAGGGAGGTTCCAGCCCACGTGACTAGGCAGCTGGTCATCCATGGCACCCTCAGCTGTGACACGATGTCTTTAATGACTGTTCTACATCTGTGTCCTGTATCCCCATGACAGGTTATTTTTACTCTCAAGACCTGGCCCAGATCTGGAGGGTGGCGGAGCGGCTGGAAGTCGGCATGGTTGGTGTTAATGAAGGACTCATCTCCTCCGTGGAGTGCCCTTTCGGCGGGGTGAAGCAGTCCGGCCTTGGGCGAGAGGGCTCCAAGTATGGCATCGACGAATATCTGGAGCTCAAGTACGTGTGCTTCGGAGGCTTATAGAATTCTTCAGAAAATAAAAAGGGAGGCTTACCTATGTATGGGGACGTGCCATCCATTATTTTAAATAAACCCATAGGGTAGGTGAACTAGGAATTAAAAAAAAAAAATCATCCAATCCTTTTAAGCAGATACAAATCCTACCCCTCCCCTTAGCTGATGTGGGACCAATACATGCCACAAGCCTGTGGCCACAGATCCCTGAGAACCAGCAGTGGGTTTATAGGATGAGGCCCCGGATCGCCAGCCGCCACACCCCCACCCACGACCTCATCTGCCACAGAGCAAGGTGCAACAAGCTGGTCCTGCAGCCCCCTCACCACAGTGGGACCACAGCCTGGGCAATGACGTAGCCAGCACCCACGTGGCTCTGGAGCTAAGACCCAGGGGGCTGCGGGGGACACCTCTGAGCGTGACTGACAGGCTGGGCAGGATGCCGCTGCATGCCTGGGGACCCCCCAGCCGGGTATTCGGAGGTGTTGCTGCAGCGGCTGAATCAGCATTTTTGTTTTTGTTTTTTAAGAACTTTAGACACAGCACAGAATTGCCTGAATTCCTTTGACAAATTAAAGAACCCCGCTCTTTTTTTTGACTAGTTTTTAAACTGAAGGCTCCATCATCCTCAACTGCTTAGAGATTCTGTGTTCACTTCTGTGCTGTTTTTCCACATCATGTTTCTGAGAGAAATAAGCAGAAAGCCGAGCAAGGCAGCAGCAGCTTAGCGGGAGCCTGGCAGGGCTTTGTCTGCACAGACATGCCAGTCTATCCCCCACACCCACCCCTCAGTGCAGTGGAGATTCTGTTCATGCCTTACTTAGCTCCATGGGATACTGTGAACGTAAGAGAAAGCAAACATATAATATTTGCCAAAAAGTGAAAATTCGATGTTAAGTGCGGGAGTCAGCATTATTATGGGAAGCACCTCCCAGCCCGGCTTGGGTCTCCAGCAGTGGCTCTGCCAAGGTGAGGGGAGGCTGGTACCCACCTGCTCGGCCCCTGAGCCCCAGGGAGGGCTGGTCTCCCACAGCCTGCTCTTTAGGAGATGCTGCTCCTTCACCTGCAGAGAGACAGCAAAGGCACTTTGAGCACAATGATCTCCAAAGGGAAAAGAAGTTCCATAGTTGCCAGGTGGAAGAGGCACTTTTTATCCAATGAGTTTTTATAGTTCTTTTAAAAACAAAAAGCCCAATGATCACTGTTTCCTGTTGCTCTGAAAGAAAAACTCTGATTGAGAAAACCGTGTCTAAACGTCCTGATATATGAGGAAAGGGGAGGCCGGTCCTGGTGGAAGAGACAGGGATGAAGCTCCCCCTTCCCACTGTGTGTGCGCGCACACTCCACTGACATCCTCTGGATTTGGGGAGCGGAAGGAAAATATGAATAAAAGGAGTACTGGAGGCAGTTGCTCCTGGACCAGCCAGGACAGAGCACCCCTCACTGAGCCATGGGGAGCCGAAGAGCTAAAGGTCTGAGATGTCTCTGTGTACAGAGGTACCACGGCCAGTCCCGGAGCTGGCCTCTGTTTGCCCTGGGTTACATCCACCATCCCCCCTGAGGCCCAGCTAAGGAATCAGCTGAAGTCCACCTCCTGGTGACGGGCACTGCTCAGACCCTGTCCACAGTCACATACACATCATATTGACAGTGAATTTGCACTTACCAGTTCTGGGGTTGTTTCATGTAACATTTTAATTACTTAATGTTTGGATGTGTCCATCTGTTCTCTATTAACAATAAAAATGCTCTAAATAGTTTTTAGAAGTCCAGAATACTAGTGCTTGAAATGTTTGGGGGAATACATCCAAATACGTTTGTAACTTTGTAACTCAGTAGCTGCTTTGGCTTGATGGCAGATTTTCAGTTTTCTAGTATATCTGTTTGACCAGGTACATAAATTGAGGGCCAGAGACTCACTGCAATATCCTTGATTATTTTTTGAATTAAAATAATTTGAAAAGGAAATAGCCTACTGTTTAGTAAAATTGATCTGGATTGTGGGGAAAGATGTATTTTTTAAATGAACATTTTTGGGGGTTATTGTTCAGTAAGGTGATCGATGTGTGATGGAATATGTGATGGATTTGTTAAAAATGTGTGTTTTAACGTGAAATAGAAAAGGATCATTAGACCAGGGGTTGGCTCACAAGCCAAATGTGGCCTGCTGTCTGCTTTTGTACAACCCAGAGCTAAGAATGGTTTTTATATTCCCAAATGGTTAGGGGAGGAAAAAAATCAAAAGAATAGTATTTCATGACACATGAAAATTTTCTGAAATTCAGATATCAGTGTCCATAACTCTTTGCTATCCCATGGACTATAGTCTGCCAGGCTCCTCTGTCCATGGAATTCTCCAGGCATTACTGGAGTGGATAGCCATTCCCTTCTCCAGGGGATCTTCCCAACCCAGGGATCGAACCTGGGTCTCCTGCACTGCAGGAGGTTCATTACCATCTGACGCACCAGGGAAGCCCCAAATAAAATGTTATTGGAACCCAGCCACACCCATTCATTTACCATATGATCTGTGGCTACCTTCTAGGCAGAGTTGAGTATCTGTACCACAGTTTTTTACAGAAATAGTTGGCCAACCTCTGATCTAAACCAAGAGGAAGATATTGACTTTCCCAAGTTTATGAGGCATTATTTCATTTTATTGACCACCTACTGTGTAAAAAGTACTTTTCCAGGCCTTGCTCCAGTGAATTCTCACCAAGAATTTTCCAGCAATCGTCACATAACTCATACGAAATCACCCAGATAATGGGAGTCTGTTGGTCTTGAGAAAACACTTCTCAGTTTACTTTCCCCAGCTATGCAGGGATTCTCATTTTAAACCTCCTCTGTACCTGTTATCTTTATCCATTTGAGTAGCTTTTAAATATAATTTTATATCAAGTGTTGGCTCATCTACCTTTAATTTTTATGGAAAGACTTTGTGAAAAACCAGAAGCGCAATGCAGATAAATCTGTTTTATTGTAAACTTAGATCATTAACTTTAAACTGTGCCACATGACTGCCTTCTCTGCAGGCTGAAGCCCAGGGCTTTAATTATTCATATGTGGCTATGATAGATAGCATTTTACTTGAATAATATTTACACTGTGGTTTTCTTTCATGCTCTATTTTGTGGGATAAAACTTGGGGATAAGTGTAGTTGGAACTGTGAAAACATTTTGTTTTTTAAAAATGTACATGTAATTCACTTTCCAGTTTCTGATAACTGTGTATGTATGTCAATGCAGCAGAGTTGTGTGTGTGTGATTAATAAAGGTTGAATTAAGAGAATTTCCTGTTTTAAGTAAAGGTTTCTGGTTTGTGGGATTTTTCTTGCCAGTTCATCATTTGAGTTTACTTTGGAGATCATCAGACCAGTTTGCATATGTATGCCTCAATCCAAATATGACTGCAGGGGTTTAGGACACGCCACCCCAAAATGCGCCACTTTGGCATAAGGATTTTTGTGAGCTGAAGACAATTAAGTGGCAGATAAAAGAAAATCACTCCGTCTTTTGTTACCCCTCTATTTGCCTAAAAGTCAGATGAGTGCTAAGCCGCTTCAGTCATGTCCGACTCTTTGCGACCCCGTGAACTGTAGCCTGCCAGGCTCCTCGGTCCATGGGATTCTCCAGGCAAGAATACTGGAGTGGGTTGCCATGCCCTCCTCCAGGGGATTTTCCTGACGCAGGGATGGAACCTGTGTCTCCTGCATTGCAGGCGGGTTCTTTACCACTGAGCAACCAGGGAAGCCCCCAAAGCAGGATACAAATTTACAAAGGTGCCCCCTCTCTATCAAGAGGGAGGGACAAAGGTTAATTCCCAGAGACAACTTCAGGCCCAATCAGCCTGGACTCTAAATAATAAATTTTACTAACTAGCCTTTGGCTCCACCCTTGAAAGCCTACAACTGTTTTCCTTTATCCTGTCATTTCTCCAGAGATTTACTGTTCTTTGTTGAGGATGCTATGTAAGCTGATGCTTTAAGCCACTTTCAGTTATCACTTCTCTCTGAGATATACATGAGAAGTTTATTAAAATTTGTTTTTCTCTTGTTAATCTTTTATGGCAGTGGTCTCAGCTGAGAACTCAGAAAGGCAGAGGAAAAATTTATTTCTCTGCTACATGTATAAACAATGCTCCTTTGATTAGTCTGTGACTTGGGCAGGGAGCCAGCCTATGAAATTCGGTACCCTAGCACATTCATACAGCAGGGACTGCAGTAGGGAAGAAACCTGTATTCTATTACAAGTTAATAGGACTTCCCTGGTAGCTCAGTGGTAAAGAATTTGCCTGTCAATGCAGGAGACATGCGTTCAACCCTTGGGTCAGGAAGATCCCCTGGAGGAGGAAATGGCAATCCACTCCAGTATCCTTGTCTGGAAAATCCCATGGATGGAGGAGCCTGGTGGGCTACAGTCCGTGGGGTTGCAAGAGTCAGACACGACTTAGTGACTAAACAATAGCAGCAAGTTAGGCTTAAATTATTCGTAATGGCTCGTCTCTGAGAACCCTGCTTCCCAGGTAATGAGCATTAAGCTAAAATACCTTTGTTTAGCTCAGAGGAAATATCCTGACCAGGCCCATCTGTGTATGGTTGTAGGCAGGAAGAACCCTCCACACCCCTCCACAGAGGCTGATGGAAACCAGGAAGTGTTCTGAGTTTACTCTCTCCTCTTTTAGTATAAAAGAAGCCTGAATTCTAACTCAAGCAAGACAGTTCTTTGGAGCATGAGCCCACCATATTTGCAGCCTGCTGCCTTTCTGAATAAAATCATTATGTCCTGCCCCAACAACCCATCTCTCAATTTTTGGCCTATGTACGGAGAGCAGGAGGAGCTTAGACTCCACTGAGTCTAAGGTTACTGAGTCTAAGCCTGCCCCATGGCTTGTGCTAATTACATGCTTGCTGAACTAAGCCTTAATTTACATGGTTTGCAGGTGTGGCTGTCTAAGAAAGGAGGATCCTCCGGCTTTCTCAAGTTCACCAGTCTCTCCTACACAGGCCACGGTTATCCATTATGTACTTTTATCAAAATTTGGGTTTTTTGGCTACAGAAGTGTATGAGGAAGGCATTTTCTGAAACCATGCTATTCAGATAAAATCACTGTTAATTATTTAGACAGCATATCTTATACTTTCATCCAGTGTTCGTTTATATTTTCAAAAATTTCACGTAGGCCTCACTGAATCCAAGTTACATCAGTAGGCCTTGAACAAAATAAGAAAACATAGCGTTCTTTCCAAAAAAGAACAGCATTCCTGGATAACCATCTCCCTTTATCATTCCATTTACTCCATGCGTTTCTCTTAACCTGCTTTCGATTTTTTTAATTACTTTGTTACCAGGAAAAATGATCCACTTACCTCTTGTTGACCTGAAAGGAACTCCCAGATACTGTTCCAGCAAAGATGGGTTTAGTTAGGACAAGCAGAGAACTAACTGTAACTTGAGATCTGCAACCACGGCCAGTTGCATCAAGTCAAGTCCCTGCAGACCAACAGAAGGAAAAAATGCTTTTATAGGGAGGAAACGGAAGTCGGGCGGGTTAAAGAGTTCGTGGCTTTTCATTGGCTGAGTCCTTATCAGGAAAGAGAGGTCTTCCTCCTGTCTGGCTCTGCTATCATCACAGGGCGTGAGAGCGCCCTCCTCTGGTCGCCTGAGTCTATTGCTGTTTCTGTTTTTTTTACACTCAATTTGTGGGTTTGCTTCATGCTTAGTCTGGGCCTTCACTTGGAAGTGTATTTTCTTCTTCCTGCTATTTCTAGCAGTAAATTTTCACCTGTTACAGTTTCTTTATCTCTGACTTAGCTTGCAACAAATTAAAACACCAAGTAGTGTGGTTTTCATTTATTGAGTGTGGGAAATCTGTCTTGGGGAAGAAAATAGGTCATGCTAGGTGTGAATATTGAAAGGCTATATTCTATTTGTATGTTATTTATAAGTAAGTGGAAGTGGGTTTAGAAATTGGTGGTCTGTAAGTCTACTTATAATCCATCCATTTTATCAGCTAACCAGGAAGGAGTGGCCAAAATTTAGACCACAGACACCACCACTGTCCCAGTTGGGCTAGTGGGCAAGAGTGAGTGTTCAGGTGTTCTGTCAGATTATATTATATTACATTACATTATATTCTTAGGACACAGTCTCTGTTGAAACTACTCACCTCTACTGTTGTAGCACAAAGGAATGCAAGAATGTGCCTGTGTTCCAGTAAGACTTTATTTAGGGACACTGACATCATTGGAAGGACTGATGCTCAAGCTGAAACTCCAATACTTTGGCCACCTGACACGAAGAACTGACTCATTCGAATAGACTCGGTGCTAGGAGAGATTGAAGGCGGGAGGAAGGGGACAACAGAGGATGAGATGGTTGGATGGCATCACCGACTCAATGGACATGAGTTTGAGTAAACTCCAGGAGTTGGTGATGGACAGGGAGGCCTGGCGTGCTGCAGTTCATGGGGTCGCAAAGAGTCGGACACAACTGAATGACTGAGCTGAACTGAACTGACATCTGAATTCCATGTGAGTTTCAAGCATCACAGAAATATGATTTTTTTCACCCATTTAAAAATGTAAAAACCACTGTTAACTCACTGGCTGCACGAAAACAGGTCATGGGCCAGTCTGCTGCCTCCTCTCCGGGAAATCCATCCACACAGAAGTATAAAGAATGAATATCCCCCCGATGCACCCAACGACGTGGAGGCATTACAGAGAATACAGACACTTTTATTCAGATTAGCACATACATTTAATAGTGTTATAATAGAAATGATATCTTGTCAGTACATGGGGGAAAGACATTAAAAAAAAAAAGTAAAGAAAACCAAGACTTCAGCCAAAGTTCATGATGGTTTGGTCACACACAGAAAAGAACAGTACTGCCCCTCCTCTCTGCCCATAAAGGAGGTGGCGTTGGCATGCCATGTGGTATTACTCCTTACCTCACTGCGTCTTTTTCAGCAGGTTCCTTAGTCATACACATGCTTGACCTCTTAATACTGTGGGTTTGAATGCTCCACCACTGATTTTTTTTTAGCCAGCAACTAATAGTCTGGTCATCTTGTGAGCCCCACCACTGGCCTCTCCCACATTCTTGGGCCCCGCTTTGCTCATCTAAGCTCCCGCAGAGTTTCATCTTCCCAAGCTCCTTAATGCAAAGTGTACAAGTGAGGAATGCTGGCTGCATTCCACCTCACGCTCGGCTCCTCTGATGAGAAGTGGGAAAACAAAAGAGGACTCACTTTCTGATCTGGTGTGGTGTTTATGTTTGACCCACCATAGATTCACGATCCATCAGTGGTAGAAGGATCAGACCTGCTGGGCTGGAGATAGGGTCAGAAAGGGCAGAAGCAGTGCTCAGCCACCCAGAGAGGCAGCCTCGGGTATGATCTCGCAGAAAAGATGAAGTCTTCTTCCCCTTCACCTTCTGCTCCCTTCACAGAGGGAATTCTTGGTCCTAGGAACCAAACTTCCAAGTGGTCCAAAAGACCCACCAGAATTTGCCCTCCAATAACTGGGCATGGGAGTCCTTTGTGTATAGGGGAGAAGGGTGGAAGGCATGGACCTTGAAGCTTACAAAATCTGTATTCGATTCCTATATCCACCACTGACTGGCCATGACCTTGAGTAAGTTACTTAAACTCTCTGGGCCTTTATTATACTCAATATGAGAATAATAGCTACCTTTCCAGCTTGATTGTAAGGATCAATAGAGTATGTAAAATACATGTATTATGTACATAGCACTTAACACATGATCACTCCTTCTCCATCACTGTGCTCTGCCGACATCATATTTAGGCTGCCATCCTCTGTGCCAGAAATTTCCATTGCGCACGAAAATAATATAACTGGCCACTGGGTAGGGCAGATTTTAAGTTCACGAAGCTAAATATTTATGTAAAAAGCATCACATTTTCCTTCTAACACCATCAATAGGACTGAACTGGCTGGCTAGACAGAAAGTGCAGACATAAAGAAATGCTTAAAAATAAAATCACACCTGTATGCTTTTTACTTTTGCCATTTCCCAGAAAACAGAATAATTAAAAACAAGACGGTCTCATGAGGATGGATATTAGCAGCGAGAACAGTACTGTAAAGCTTCCTTTTTTTCAGTGGCCCATGGGAACTGTTTTCTCTATTGTCCTGTCCTGATGATTTAAACCTGATGGTTTAATGGCCTTGCTTCTCCACTTACTCATAGCAAAGCAGTCCCGGTTTCCCTCTCCTGTGACAAAAGCTTGGGCAACAGAATATTGCTTAAATGTGGTCATGC